ATGATTATTCCTTACAAGAGGAGGGTCAGGGTTGCTTGTAGAATTTGGGGTGATAAGTGTTGAAGTAGGAGATGAACTGATTAATCCTACTCAAACAAAGGAGCTATCGTGACCTATTAGGGAGAAATCCCTTTGATTTGTCACGAATTATCGTGTAGCCCTTGGACAATTCATAAATTTCCAATGGGATACCGAGTTTTGTGCTTCTTTATTGCCATTTACCCAAATTTCTCAGGAAACCTTATCCTCGCTTGTTTTTGGAGTACATCGTAGCCTATAAGGATGTTGTGGTTACTGACAAGGCAGGCTCGCCTTTTGTGCACGTCATGCTTTCATCTGTTCCAATTTTCATGTCTTGCTGCCTTTAGTTATTCTTTAGGTCATGGAATGCCTATGACCACTCTACCATGGGGAACCTGTAGCCTATGAAAACAAAGGTGTGATGTTTCATCCCTTTTAGCTTCCTATAGTTGTGCTTTACATCACTAACTGTTTTTGACCATCTTGCCCTTGGGTTTGCGTTTTTCTTTTGCTGATTACCCTGAATACTGGTAATATTCTATGTGATCTGCCGCATCTCATTATTTTTGGAAGCTTAAGTAGCTTCTCAAAGTAATGAGAAATCCGCATTCTTTCTCAGAAAGTTTAAACATTGTAAAATTTTCTAAAACTAATTTCCCCCACAAAATTAAGTGATTTTTATTCAAAAAAGAAAGAAAGAAAGAAAGAGAAAGTGGAGTTTTTTCAATGCATGGGCTGGGTACCCTTTGGAGCATCAACCTTTTATTACAGGGAGGGGTTAATTTGTTTTCTGGCTTTGGCGCAGGTCTCTTGGAGAGGTGAAAGATTTCCTTTTTGGCTACCTACAGCTTCGTAATGGTTTTGAGTCTGTTACTCTTAACACAACCATTGTTTGTTGTTGAAAAGTAGGTTTTGTTAGTTTGTTGTTGTGAGAATTTTTTTATTATATACTTTGTCGTTTTTTTTTTTCGGTAGATGCTGCATTTATGATGATTGTTTAACTGTACTTGTTAATTGATTGATACTTTATCTTTCATTTGCTTTCCAAATGCATTGTCTGGTATCAATCTTGATTCATGTCAGGAAGTGCATCTCTAACATTAATTTTTCTTTTATCTTGCATGGTGAGTGTTGCGAATTTTGAAATTTTTTGGCTTTTCAAGAATAACTTGCTTGTTCGCAACAAAATCTCCAGGTATTGTGGTTTTCGCTCTTAATTACTTTGGATGGAGGTAACAATTTTCTTATGATTTGAAGTTGTTCTTCCTACACTCCTGTTCCAAGAATCCAAGTCCGTGAATTTGAACCTCGATGCTTGCATTATTCTATGACTTGGCTATTGCTAGAGTGTTCGTGATAAATACTGACTTATTTCTCGAGAGGGACAAATGCCGTCCCAGGATTTTTATTAAAAGAAACTCATGACTACGCCAAAAAGAAATTCTCCTCGAAAGAGGAAAAACATCTTTATAATTGTTGGACGGAAATGGTCGCGAATGTCTAATTTTTGGGCCAGAATCTCTATCGTTGTCTTCTTGGTTCTTATCTTACTCACCCTATTGATAAATGAATCATCTGGTGATGGCTTTTCAATTCCAAAAGCTGAAAGTTTGCAGGAGGAAGTTACAGAACAGCCTTGCCCTTCAGTGCTCCCACTTTTTCCGTTTCTTACTACTTTGACCTTATAATTATTTATCTCTGAACAAGTAAGCAATACTGATGGTTTTATTTTTAAAGTCTGACTAATCAATCTAAGCAAGAGTTGGTGAATTCCCTTTCCAAGAATATTTGCATTCCTTTTTGGTAAGCGATATGATGGAGCAATTCTCAAGTTCCATTAGTCAATTATGTTTACAAAAATTTTTCATTTTTGTAATGGCGATACTATTAATTGTAGTCCATGATGAAGTCAATGACCAGAACCATTTTGTGCACTCTTTATTCATATTTCAGTGCTTATTTGCTTACCTCAGTAAGCATACATGAAAATTGAAGGAGTAAGTGATGACTATATGTTTAATTGTTGGCTACAGCTGAAGCAATTGTGCCTTTTGATATTGATATATGTTCCTTATCTTTCTACTTGCATTTCCTTTGTCTCCTCCGTGCTAACGTTTTTCTTGAAATGTTTCCTATAATCCCATTCGTAGGTTGACCGTGCTATTACAGAAGTCAGTCTTGATGGCAAAGAAGACTCAGCCAATGTGGTGTAGTTTATTACGGTATCATTGAGATTCATTTCTTCACAATTTTCATTGCTGCCCTTTTTCTTGAATGTACTATATTTAACTCTTGCAAAAGATGTTTGAAGAGCTTGTCACCTTTCTTTCGATCCTCTTTCTTGAAAGGTGGAATCCTGAAGTCGGAATGAAATATTTACATTTACAACTATCAACTGTTTAATGAGCCTAAGTTAGAATTGAAGCTAGCAGATTAAGGAACCTCTTGTCGGTGGCTTTACTTCTCTGCTGATGGATCGCTTCGAGGTCTTGGGTGCGCTTATCCTTTCCTAGTGCTTTGCATTCTGTTTGCTTGTACATCCAAGTAAAATTAATTTGATATTTTATGATGTTTTATCAATAAACAGAGATGCATGCCCAGAATAAGGAGAATGTGGTTCTGTTTTTTTGGGGTTAATTACTTGAAACTAAGTGTGAGACACTCGATCACAGGAAGCTTCACACAAGACTAAGGACTTTCCAGGTACAAAACCTCTATTTTATGCTATCAAATTTGCAAGCAGTGGCTTAATTTTGAAATTTGACATTGCTTAATAACTTCCCAATTATTTGAATGGACAGTCATCCTCCTCCATTCTTTTTCTCACCGTTTCTTGAATTATCAGTGTGTCTTCATACTCAAGGAGCCAATAAGTTCCTGCATTCAGAGAAACCACAACCTTCCGAAGCATTGGTGTTATTCATGAGAGGGCCAATGAACTCAAGGTAATCTTCTTTTTTTTTTCTCTTTTTTTCCCTGGGAATAGAAACTGATGCTCGTTTCAACTAAGGAAACATCAAACAATATAAAACCGATTTTTCATCATTCGCCCCCTTTTCCAAGGGCAGAAATGATAAAAGAGACAAAAATGATGAATCATCAATTTAATACGGGGGCGAATAAATTGATTAATACTCCCTCCGTTCCTTATTATAAGAGACAAATAACCGAAGTACGTTGATTAAAAAAACAGTTAAAATTAGTTAAGAACAATTAATGTGTAAAAAGTATAATTTTTTTCCAAAAATACCCTCATTAATAAGGAGAGAGAGCATGAGAGAGAACAATTAAATTATTAAAAGAAAGAGAAGTGGGAGGGAGAGAGAGTGTGAGTTGGAGATAATAAATATGGGTAATATAGTAAATCAACACAAAAAAGTAGAGACAACTTGTAAGTGTCTCTTATATATAGGAACATGCCATAAGTATCAAATGTCTCTTATAATAAGGAACGGAGGGAATACTACCTAAAATCCTTAATATAATACTTTAAAGCATTTATGTTTTTTTAATACTAATTTGCCTTATTTATAAACTGATGTACCACCTCTGGTTCTTAACATAAGAACTAAGGCTTGTTTGGAATGGTTTACAAGTAGTTTTTTAATCGTGATTTATGAAATATGAGATAAATATATGAGAGGAGTTTTATCTTAGTTTACGTAAAATGTACTTATAAGTGATTTTAAATGCTAATCTAAACAGGGCCCTAGTTGACTAACTTGAGTTGATTAAAAAAATTAGTTAAATTAGTTATTTATAATATATAGGTAAATCTTTTTTAAAATACCCTTGCTAGTAATGTGTATTAACTAGAATTAATATGAAACTTTTAACATATATAACTACTATAAGGATTACCTTAGAAAAAATAAATATATATAAGAGACAAAGTAGATTAAGGTCTTATATTTAAGATTAAATTAAATATAAAACTAGCTCTTACATGAAGGACGGGAAGTAGTGTAATCTAATGATATATATAAATATTTCAAAAAGATAATAACATATATTATAATTAAATCATTTATTTAGTTTTTTTTAATCTATTCAAATTAGTCAATTATGTTTTATATTAAAACTGGAGGTGGTATAATTTATGTTTTAGTGTTAGTCTTGTATGCTATGGTAATAAATTTTCTTTTCACTCAAAAATTCATCTACCATTATCCTTTACTATACTCCTCCGATTCTAAATATAAGACCCTTATATATATTAGTATAAGGATCATATATTTAAGGCCGGAGGAGTATCATCTTCTCACCTCAGCCAACTCGTGACTTTCATTGCGGTCTTCTCATCCAACCAACCCCATCAAACCACCTTGCCAAATATTGGAAAATATATTTCTCTTAAATTATTTTTAAGTCTACACAAATATAAAAAAAAAAAAATTTCAACTTATCATTTAATTATTCCTTTTTATTTGAATTTATTTTTATTATTTTATTTTAAAAAATATTTTTAGGCATATAAAATTATTTGATTTTAAAATATATAAATATGAAAAATATATTTTTCAAACATTTTTACTTGAAAAATACTCTGATAGTATTTATTTTTGTATGGTTTTGTTATAACTCATAACATGAAATATAACATAAATCAGGGTATAAGCATTGTGAGTCTGGGACATCTGCTCTATTTTTTTCCTCCATATGTTTTCTCAGGAAGAATACAAATATTATTTCTTGAATTTTTTTCTATTTTCTTTTATTCTCTTTCTTTTTCTAAATTTTCCTCTCCACTCAAATAGAGGATAAACATTTTTAAAGCACCGCCTCGTCACATGGCCTGTGTTTTTTATTTTAGAAAATGGAGAGTAGAACCGCTCGCATGACCTGTTATGTTGTAAAGATAAGTATTTTGACCATTGTTGTGTATTTCAAAAATCGTTTAGTAGAACCGTTCGCGCGGCCTGTTCTATTGGAGAGAAAAGCATAAAAAATTCGCTAGAAGGAGGGCTTGAACCTCCGACCTTGTGGTTAACAGCCACACGCTCTAACCAACTGAGCTATTCCAGCAGTCGAGTGGGGTAGTCTCTTACTAATATGAAATCTATCAGGAATTTAGTGAGCTATTCCACCGCCTATTTGAGAATTGAGAGGCTTGGGTTTAGGGTTGGTTTGGATTTTTGTCCGTCGGATTTAAAATTCTCTGAACTTTCGATTCACTGGGGTTGAACCATGTTGTGGACGTTTCGGAGTTTCTCTTTTCTAGGTGCGAATCGTGCCTGGGCTTCGTCGTTGTTAATTTTGGTGATGGTAAATTCCGAGTGAAATTATGTTTTCTGTTACCGCCGAATTGACCTTGGATGGGCATATCTGAATCTTGGGATCTGCCGTCACGTTGTCGCATTGTGCTTTTTATTTAGGATTATGCATGCGAGAAAGTGAGATAGAAAGCAGTGTGGTATTTTAGCGTTACTCGTGATACTATAAATAATAAGCTGTAACAGTTTCTCATTGTGCATGGCACACTAATGATAGATCATAAAATTGAATTTTGATGGTCTCCTCTTTCTAGTGCCAGATGTTTATCACAATAAGCACCTGCGCTGATTGAGAGTATAATCTGCTATTAATCTCCTATCTTAATGTTATGGGTGTTTCAGTGTGGAAGGTAAGGTTCCTTTGCCCAATGCATGTTAAGTTTTAGAATCCATTCTGGTGAGTAAAGGTGGTTTTCACATTTGTGCTTTAGTTCTGAGCAAGTTTAACTTCTCGTGGTCCCAGTTGATCTGGCAGAAATTAGAATATGAAGATGCGCCTTTTCACTTGGAAAAACTAAACCATGTATTTGCTGAGCAGAAACGCAGCTTAATTCGTATTTAGACTCCCATAGCAAGTTCATTTGCTTGAAGCTTGTCCTTTGTTCGTTGGCTTCCCTGTGTATGTTACCGTGGTAAGTTCTTTTCAGAACCCCGTTTGTTATTATTTAGAGTTTGAGGGAATTTAATGTTTCCAGATCTGGGTTTACAAGAGCTGCTGAAGCAAGTTTATGAAAGGACAATTTGCTTAAAATGTGTTAGAATAGACATTCATTTAGGACGACCACATCAGCAATATGCCAACAGGTTGTAAGTTAAAATCAGAAGACTAAAGACTTAAGCCATATAGTAGCAATGTTCAAATTTTCCTCCGAGGTATGTGGGAATGCATTTTGTTAGACACGTGATGAATCTATCGTTCATATTTTTATTTTGCAATCTAGTAGCAATCTAGTTCACCTCTCCTTACTCCTTCAGAGTTGACCAAAGGCATCCTAAAAATATCTGACAGTGGTTACAGATTAGGTTTGCTTGATTGGATTGGATGGGATTCCTGTAGAATGTGAAGATTATACCACTCATTCTCCACATCTATAGCAAATTTGGTATTCCTAGAATAAGCCAATATTTCAAAGTAAGCAGAGTTTCCTGTTGGATGTTTTGAATATGGCTTGCCAATGCGTCCTAAATCTAATAATGCCCTTTTTACTTCTGATCACCCTGTCTATGGAATCAGTTCAACTTATCTTAAGAGATCCTTTAAATTTTCCCTTTTCTGTAAGTTTTTACAGCATTTTCTAAGCACTAACTGTTCAGAGAGAAGGAAAGATAGCTTCATCTATGTATAAATATCAGATCCTATCATGGGCTATGTAGATAATATTGAAGGGATTCAGCTAATGGGTCTGGGGCCGGGTTCTCACAAACTAGTGGGAGGATTTTTTGTTAAATGCAGGTCCTTTGTTAGGATGAGTAGATCAAGCAAAACAAGGAACGAGTTGCTAATTTCAATGTGTTGACTTTAGCTTCTAATACGTTGGGATGTAGAAGCTATTGATTTGTTTTCAAAGACAAATTAGTTCATTATTTGGGTAGTGGGTATTTTTATGTTTGACTTTATCTTGATAATTTTTCTCCTCTTGCAAGTCTTTTATTTATGAGAAAACTGTTGCTAGTTTCATAGTTCTCTGGGGGAGGTTAAAGTTCTTGATATCTTGCTAATTTGATTTTTCTACAAAGATTTTTCGTTCATACGCAATATTTTTGAGCCAAATTCATCACTTTTCTTCTGAAGTTCCTTCTGGATACAAAGTCAGCTACACAATTGTACTAATTAAAAAAAATTCAAATTATAGGTAATATGATTTACTGTAAATTTTATAAATATATTGATAAATTTATATTATCTCTTTCACAATATTATACCTGCATAATCAATCTTCAATGTCTTGATAAAAAAATTAAATAATTTGACTATTCGTAATGATGAAGAAACGACTGGACTACGAAAATACTTTTTTTTTTTCAGCCATCAAAACAAGGAAGCACTTCATAAATCATGATATTGTGGTTATAAATACAACAATTTCCAATAAATTTTAATGTTTTATATTTCTCTGATTTTAAAGATAAAAGTTAGTTAAGCAATTGATTTTAAATCTAAATATAAAACTTTAATTTACTTTTTTTCTGATATTTATCATTTTTTTAAATTAAGGATTTGAGGTTTTTTTTTTTTGCCATCACTCATAAACACATAATTTAGTGTTATGGGAGAATTTTTTTAAAAAAAATTGGGTCATACTTATTGAAATTTGAAACTAAGTAATTTATTCAGTTTTTTTTTTCAATTTACTAAATTAATAAAATAACTTTTATATCAAAAAACAAAACAAAGGAGTATGAATTTACAATTTTAATTCATAGGTTTATTCTTGCAACTCTTTTGATATAATGTATAAAGTCATGATATAAAGTACTTCTTTCAGTCTTTAATATAAGAACTAGTTGATTAATTTCAATAAATTAAGAAAATCTATTTAGTTAATTATTTGTAACAAATATGATTTGAATTCTTTAAATTATTTTTACTAATCATGTAATTAGTTAGAACTACCATTTGATAGAATTTTTAATATATGAAATTATCGCAAGAATTATTTTAGAAAAATAAATAAATATGATAGACAAAATGAATTAGATTCTTATATTTATAACTAAACTGAAAATCAAACAAACTCTTGTATTAAGAATAAGAGGTAATGTGGCAGTGCAAGTGCTTTGACCAATCAAGATTCCGAATCGAAATGCTGGTCAATTTTCTAGGTATTCAATGTTCCAGCTGTACAACTTCTACTCCCGTGCTTCCCTTCTTAGATCTTACATCAATTTTCGCGGTTTTTTTGGTCGAAAATTCATTTAAGTGTTTAGATGGAAAAAAGTGTTTTTAAGAAATATTTTTTAAAAAAATCAAGATAAAATTTTTCTTATATACTTACATTTTATATGTCATAAAATTACTTTTAAAATTATGATTTAGTTTTACTTAAATACTTCCTTAACAAAAGATCGAAAAGCAATCACATTTACTATAGATTTCATAGATGTATATTTTTCATCCTAAAGCTTAAAAAAAAAAGGAAATAAATAAAGCCAGCAATTTGATTTTTTGAGAAAAATTATTTGCTTCCAGGGCTCCTTCAGATCATAAAAGATATGATCCTACGAGGGGCATAGCTGTTTCATCGTCTGCATTAAACTTCCTCGTGCCGCTCGAACAATTTGGTAAACCTGATCAATTAAATATCGCCTGACTGCTATATATAAGCTTCACGAACATGCGTCTGATTCAAAATATAAATTTTATTTTTGAGTTTCTCTGCATATTTATTATTTTTCTTCTTATTTTAATTGACTGTATTTAGTACTCACATTTGTATTTAGTACTATTTCACATTTCACATTAATATTACTTCCATATATTCTATTTTATCATTTTTTTTATGTATTGACTCTTATTTACTCTCTTAATAAATAAAGACAAATTTTTTTAAAAAAAAGATGCATTTCTAACCTATTATTAAAATTAACTAATTTTAACTGATAATTTATTAAACGTGATTAAGTTATTTAAAGCTTATATATAGGGCAAGAAGAAGTATATTTCAAATTTGTTAAACGCAAATTCAAGATAAATCGTAATCCTCTCTTGAGATCTATCCAAAATAAATTTAGAGTTTAAAATCTGAAAAACAATTTAAGAATTTGAAATTAAAGCTTGATTCTGGGAATTCCACGCGGACAATATTGGTGAGGTGGCATTCTTAGATTGGTGGTGTGACGAATAAACCTTCAGCGTCGCCGTTGCATCCATAGAAGAAAGGCGCCCACCGTGGAAAGCTCGGGGGAACAGAGTTATGGCTCCTCGGAAGAGACTTTCAAGTGACGCCTCCGCAGAAACCTCTGTGAAGGACAATGCACCGCGAAAACCCCAAGAGCCCGCCATTACTGAATCTCCAATTTCACCCCCAAAATGGGGCCTCGTTCTCAAGCTCTCTCTGTTCGTCATCCCTTACTTGTATCTCATCTTCTGCCATTACAACATTGAGCCAGAGCTTAGGAGATCCATCCTCATCAATGCTGTGATGAGCCTTGCTGGGTTCTTTGTGACCGTCAAAATGATCCCCGTGGCGTCCAGATATGTTCTCAGGCGAAATCTGTTTGGCTATGATATCAATAAGAAGGGCACCGATCAGGGCACCGTCAAAGTGTGAGACTTTATTTCATTTTAACGACCGTGTAGATTAATGAAGTGGCTAATTGGTGGATTTTGGTTTTCGATGCGTTTTCTGCATAATTAAGCGTCGGTTTAAATGTTTGGGCTTTTTAACCAAATTTGTGCACTAATGATCTTCTAGATTTGAGTTCAGGTGTAACTAAATTTCGGATCAAATCTCTAATTGGGTTTTGTTTGATATCTTTCATTCCGATTGAGTATGCTTTTCCTACACGTAATGATTCCACCCTCAGTCCTTTGTAATTCTGATATTAATGCAATTCGGTGCGAAATATGACTTCTCTCGGATCCTGCACTTCCTGTTCATTAATTATCAAACCGGTTTGATGAGTACTATATATCTCCTTTGGAAAATAGCTTTTGCTATGTTTGCGAATTGATGTGGACCTGCATCAAACCCCCCACGGGGTATTTTCTCAAGCCTCCTGTATCTTTTGTTCATGAGAAATAACATATGACCTTTTGTTACAGTTTTTTTTTTTTTTTTTGATAATGGTGTAATTATCCTTTGGTATTTATGATTTTATATTTAGATAACTGGAATAATTTCAGGATTTGATCAATAATTGACTGTAGGGAAATGTTAACCTCTCTGATACTTCAGTAGGGTTAGGATTTCTTAATAAAATTTCCTAGTAGTATGAATAGGCCAGTTTTTGAGTAAAAGAGCTATCCCTGAGTATTATCGATAAAAAGGATATATTGAGCTTCTGATAAATTTGTGATTTTTATCGATTTGTCTTCTTGTGCGACATGATTATTGGTTCTATTTGATTTTCTCTATTTAGAATATGGATTATAGATTATGGGAATACTTCTGTACTAAGATGGGAATCCATCAAATGAATCAATAATGTCATTTACTCTTGGTTTTATTTTTCCATGTGTTTTTCATTGAAGTTCGTAGAATTGGGACCTGCTCTTTTTCAACAGGAAATTCTATTTCAATTGTATACTTCCATGTGTGTAAGTTTGATCTCCCTTTTGTATGCCCGCTGGGTGAAATGCTTACACTGTTGCTTTCCATACAAAACACAAGCCATGCCATTTGAAACTATGACCATATAACTTGTTCAAAGTTTGTCCATTAAAGCTTTGGTGATTTTAATAGAAGGAAGTCAGGGACTTGTTGAAGGGTTGCTTGGGTAAGTTGGCTAGTTTGAGACATTAAATGACCTTAAGCCTGTGAGGTACGTAGAAAATGAAGAGAAAGTTGTATGAGTTTTCAGAATTTCCATCAGTTGGAAAGGATAGTGAGTATCTTCTCACCTCGTTAACTGATTCAGTTGAATAAGTTAGGAAAAAAATTGTTGAGGATGTTTTGAGTAGATGGCACATAGAGATCTATATGTTCCTGTGTGGAAGGGTGAGGTAATGCAAGAAGGATTATTGAAATGGATGGAATTGAGATTTATATTGAATAATGGTGCAGGTCGTTAAAAAAATTAGATGCAAAGGGTTCAGCAGGGCCTCAGGTGGAATTATTAGGAAATATTGTTGTAAGTGTATATGCTTGTGAAGGTTCCTATCAGCAATCCAAACTAGGGATAGTATATAGTTGCTTTTTGCATTATAAGTTGATTTAGTAAGCATTTGACCTAGTGTTTCCCAAGCTTGTTGTGGTAAAGTCAAATCCAATATGAGGGACAGAGCACTGTTAGCAAGCTATATGCGACCTATATTTTTCGTTTTGGTTGACAATGTCACTATTTTCTATGTAGGCCTGAGTCATTGGGCATAGTCGTTGGCATAGTCTTCTTGGTCTTGGCAATCTTATTTCAATACTTCAACTTCACAGCAGATTCAAATGTAAGTATTATTTATTATTTCTGAGCAAGGTATTTGACTATTTAGTTTAGCTCCAACATTTTGTGACTGGTACAAGTTCATGATTGAAGATTTGATTTACTAACTACTTTAATACTGCAGTGGCTTGTGGAATACAATGCAGCGTTAGCATCTATCTGCTTCATGATATTGCTTGGATTTGTTGATGATGTTCTTGATGTCCCGTGGAGAGTGTGAGTATATGATCTTTTAGTACCTTTTTTCCAGGGTTTGTGTTTGTCTCCAAGGATACACACACGCGCACCCATATTCTTATTGTTTTTGTTATGCAATGTGATTGGGACGAGCAGGAAATTACTACTTCCATCAATTGCGGCACTTCCTTTGTTAATGGCTTATGCTGGTCACACAACTATAGTTATACCGAAGCCACTTGCCCCACATATTGGGATAGAAATTTTGGATCTTGGTAAGCTTCCCTTGCCTTCCAAAGGGCACTAATACTAATTGCTTCATAGTTTCGCAATGTTGACCACTTATTCTTGTGGCAGGATGGATATATAAACTATATATGGGGCTCTTGGCTGTTTTTTGCACAAATTCCATCAATATTCATGCTGGAATAAATGGGCTTGAAGTTGGGCAGACAGTGGTTATTGCTTCAGCTGTAAGCATAGAAGCTTGTTAGATTAAATCAAATCTGTTTTGGCTGTGGAATATGATAGTTACTGTGGGTTTGCAGATCGTGATACACAATATTATGCAAATAGGAGGATCAACAGATCCTGAATATAAGCATGCACATGCATTCTCTATCTACCTAGTTCAGCCCTTACTAGCTACCTCTTTGGCTCTGCTTTCTTACAACTGGTATTTAATACTGTATCTTTATCGTTTTGTCTTCTCCTGCTTAATAAAAGAGTAATTTGCTGAATCAGGCTGTTGTCTTGCTCATTATAGGTATCCTTCCGCAGTTTTTGTTGGAGACACTTATACATACTTTGCTGGAATGACCATGGCTGTAGTTGGAATTTTAGGCCATTATAGGTATAACCTTGCACTTTTATTCTTCTCAAACAAAAGAAGCAATTTCTTTGCCTTCCCCATGTGTGTGTAAGGCTACCAAGGCATGATGAGTATGACTAAACTATACCGGGAATGTCATCAAAATTTGTAACTGTGGAAACTTAGATTCGTCCTTTTATGCTGGTCTGACTTGAATAAATTCTTCACTCAAAACTCATAGCCATACTTGGCTTCCAAGGGTGCTCTCATCTGTGAGGGCTAGAAGACATTTGCTGAGGGCACAAAGATTCAGTCAAGAAGTGGAATTTGGAATACTAATCACAAAATGCGAAAAGAGGAAAGCATGTTACGTGTAACAATGAACTTCCAAGTAAACTGAATTATCTATTTTGTTAGAAACAGGAAAGAGCAAGCAATTGAGTTCAAAGCATTCACATCTAGACCATTCTACCCAGATTTATCATCTTGTATCACTGTTGTTATCGAATACCTCATGATTAACTTTAATTTTTGATTCAGTGAAACGTTGTTGATCTTCTTCCTGCCTCAAGTGCTGAACTTTCTCTTGTCACTGCCCCAGGTTATTACACAATCTCTCTCTCTGTCCCTCTGTGTACTAAAAAATTGTTATAATTTAGAATTCCCCTAAATGTGTATGACATATGACATGCTTTTCTCCAGCTCTCTGGCTTTATTCCATGTCCCAGGCATCGCCTGCCGAGGTAGGCTTTGACAGCCTCTCCCTATTTTCATTGTGAGGACTTCTATTAGACATCCTGCTTGTATTTATCTGGTTGAAATCTGTGCATCTTCTGTCTAGGTTTGACCCTCAAACTGGATTGCTGACTGGGACAAATGACGGGACACTCGTTAATTTTTTCTTGAGACAGCTTGGGCGGAAGTCTGAAAAGTCACTTTGTATTTATCTTCTTGTTTTCCAGGTAGTTATTATCTTTTATTCTTTCCCCCTAGCTGCCCGCAACCCCACTATCCCCACCCTTCTCCCTTTCCTTTTTCCTTCTATTCTTCCAAGTTAAATTTGTGTCAAGTAGGATTTAAGCAAACCCTAGTGTTTCATTGGTCTTGCCTGGAAAATGTAATCCAGGCACATTGGCATGGGGAAATGGGTTATTCTGTTTACGGCTTATGTGCAAAAACTGACCCAAACTTGATTAGAGGTCTTTTGTTTCCTAGTCATGTTCAAGCTACTGATTTGGAAATGACGCTTAGGTCTCAAAAGGTTATTGAGAATGACATATAAGACCTAAATGCTTGATCTGCATCTGATACTCACACTTGCAACTACATGAAGTGATATTTGTAACTCTTTTTTCAGCAAAATTTTCTAAGTCTTAATTATCGTTTAATTAAAATTATTGAGGACGACATATATGACCTAAATTTTCACTTTTTTTCCTGCTTCAGTTAGAATTTTTGTGTGGTGTGGTATATTGTTCATAGCCCCTGTAACCCTCTTGTAAACAGGCTATTGCATGCTGCTTCTGTTTCGTGCTGAGATATTTCCTAGCTGGATGGTACAAATGATGCACAAAGTTTTATCCATGGGAACAACGGTAGATGCTCAGATTTGTTGTATAATCATTCTTGTAGAAAAACTGTATCGAGGAATATAGTTTTTTAAGATGAGGGAATGCCTTTTTTTCACAATTTATTTTGGTTTCATTTGAGTCATGAACCTTGTATACACTGAATTCAATACACTAACAGCGCTGTTCTCTTGGGATACCTTGAAGAACCAAAATTTTGTATATGCTCATTGAAATGAAGAGTTTGAGGAAAGAAAAAGTTGATTAGATTGTTGCACTATCCTATGTTAGCGTGATTAGATTGTTGCACTATCCTATGTTAGCAACGATACAGCTCTTATTCGGAGATTGAAAATTGCTCTCTAGTTCATGAAGTTTCCTGAGTTCTTTGGTAGGAGTCGGAAATATAACCTCTCTGAATTTTAACTGTCTAATATTGATGTAGAAATCAGCATCAATATCAATATCAATACTAAATTGAAATCTCGGGTTTTTATCAAAATTTATGACTTAGACAGACTGTCGCTGTGAATGAATTAGTTCTTACTCTCCCCTAGAAAACTACTTTTATTCTGCATATTAGGGAAATAAGAGTATCATCATAATGCTAATTAATCAATGCAGCTGCAAGATGCAGTTAAGAGAACTCAATGTGATGGTGATACTTGCCACTATTATCAATCCATTTTTAACAGTAACATTTCTCCACTATATTTCATTGTTCATACCCAGACTATCTTCACCATTTAAACTTTTAAAAATAGAGTTTCTGTGAATTCTTGCATGCTCGCGTGGGCAAACAGCTTTACTTGTGTGGGTGCCAATGCATTGGATAGCAACAGATAAATAGTTTAGCAGAGAGGGAATAAACAGGTAGCAAAGATTCAATGAGGCTGGAACGAACGATTCAGCTATACGAAAATATATCAACGAACAATTCACCTATCAACAAAAGCTTTCTTTTTCTTCTCTCTCCCTCCTCCCACAAAACAACAAAAAAAACCCTTTCGGCCTTTGGATGGGCAGATCGACGACACGAGCTTTGGATGCTGCCATAAATTCAGGAATAAGAGCTCTCTATCTTTAAACTTACCTAAGAACGCGACCCTTTCAGCTAAGAAAAGGACATATTCATATCCTAGAACGGCTATCTTCAGATACGATGTGAAAACGGAAAATGAAAATGTTGACTCTCCTCAAAATCCTATCATATTTACCAAATATTCCCGAAACAGCAACTTACTAACTCAAATAGGCTCTTTCCAGCTTAAATCCATGGGATTCCTTGCAGTCCAATCTCTTTCTTTGATCCTCACTTTGTCCTCACTTCCCACCTACCAGTGACCATGTTGTCCCCATAAGAACGGCCATAAGCAAAACCACCCCTCCTTCCCCTGTTGTTTCTCCTTCCTCTACCACCCATCTGATTCTCATTACCATGACAAGCACTGGTCCGAAAGCCACTTTGCTGTCTGAAAGCCACTTTTTCTCTCCTCTTGTTGCCCCCATCAAAGCTTCCCCAATTCCCACTACCTCTTCCTTTGCCAGTTTTCTGAAAACCAATTTGTTGTCCATCCTTCCATCGCCAGGAATCATTCTCTTGGTTCACCCATTCAGATACCTTCGCAGGTTCTTGAGGGACACAGTACTGTTCCCAGGAGCCTTCACCAGTATCAGCTTCCCCCCATCCGGTGCTGCAATTTACCCCACCATATGCATTCAGGTCAGAATCCCAACCTTGAGGAGGAGGAAAATGATTATCTTTAGGTAAGTTTGTCTCAGGTTCCCGACATCCAGTTACTCCACTATTTACATTCGGGCGACATCCAGTTACTCCACTATTTACATTCGGGTTGGGATCCCCCCACCCAGTAGGAGGAGGAACAGGTATATTACCCTGAAGTAGACCACTATTTACATTCAGACTGGGATCCCCATATCCAGTGCACTTATCTGCCTGGCTATGTACATTCACATCGGAATCCCCCCAAACTGGAGGCTGCTGGGTGTCAGCTTCCCTCCTACCTGTTGGCGAAATTTCATCTTCCCCCCAACCTGTAGGCACTATGGCTTCAGCTTCCCCCCATCCTGTGCAGAAAAATGATGGGTCCAAGAGGTGAGAACCATCAAGAATAACAACTTCATCGTTAGTTTTGTCACCGGGAGCTTGTTCTCGTTCCAAGTCCAGAATTAGCTCAGGGTCGACAGTCGAATTCCAATCCACATTGTCAATGTGCATTTCAGGGTCAGGCAAAGATAGATCGCAGGGAAGGCCATTGATCTCTGCCCAAAACTTCTTTTTAGCATTGTCAAATGCCTCTTTACCAGCAGAATCATCCCACTTCACCACATTGTCATGTAGATATATATACTTCTTGGTTTCTACCACCTTTGGCCATGGAACTGAACCAATTACAGCACAAAATTTCTTTTCCCATACAGGTACTGTCGCCTGCCACCTGTCTGCTGCATATCAAGAAAAATACAACTGTCTGTTCAATTAAATGCATGAAAGGACCTAGGATCATGCTAGAACAAGACAGAAGAGAAGTATGTCTTAGAGACAGTCGAGAAATAAAGCAAATTTAGTTATCGTACAGCTTTATCTAAAACCTCATCGATGTCCATTTTGTTCTCCGCGTGTAGCCAAAAGATTTGTCTCATAGATACCTATTTAGATGGTAATTTTGAGATGCATGTCACCGGGGGAAAAAAATGTGAGACGGTTTCTCCCCCATAGGTGACGCAAAATCGACAAAGCCATGACAGAGAACGTACAAAACATCAACTCACACAAGGCAATCTCATTATCTTAAAGATTTTTCTATATCCATAGCTCAATGGGGAAGTGATTAATTTCAAATGCATCATAGAAAGATCCAATTAACAGATAAGTTACTTTGACATTGCCAAAATCCAGAAGGCTTCGTTCCATAATATGACATGATCCAACATAAAAAAACAGCTCCAATGGAAATGTGTGCAACAATAAGCTTTGCCAATTTCAGGAAGCAGGGATCTCTATTTTACGGGCAACTGCATGGATAAATTAGGAGAAATTGACATACAAAATGGTAAGATCAAAATGATCAGTTCTTTACGTACAACTGCATGAATCAACCAGCAGAAATCAACATACGAAATGCAAATGAAGACCCCGGTAGCTTGAACCCTACCAGCCAGCAACCTAACTTGCAACAGGGCAGGATGTGCAGAACATAAACTAAATGAAGGAAAATCAGTTATCTTAAAGCAACTCCAGAGCAATAAATCAATGAAGTGGAAACCAATCAACCCAACGAACAAGCAAAGCATCTATTAGAAGAAACTGGAACCACAACCTACCAACCAAAGCAAAAGAAATGAAATTAAATTTCTCATCATAACCCCACCCGGCCCTTTAGAACTTGAGAGCCACACCCTAGTATATTAGATTATCAAGCTCTGCCCACAACAGACGCAATGGTTAAAGCCAGTCTACAGAAACATATGGCACAGAAAACCATAATCGCCCCATCAAACTTATGCTAAAAATTTTGAGGGGAACCTAACCTCCTAAGAAAACCAAGTAAAAAATTTCAAAGCAAGGTTACCATGTAACACAAACAAAAACCACGTCCAACAATTTCATCACTCACCCCACCATTACATGGCTTTTAAAAACAAAATAGTGTGAATGGGAACTAGCAGATACTCATGCAGCAGCTCTAAAAATAAAAACCACAAATATATACTAACCCAGAGGAGGCTTTCCGCTATATGATCTGTTCCACTGACCCACTTGATGACGACTGGCGTCTTCTTGTTTTCTCCAATTGGCCATCTCCAGAACCAAAAGAGAATACCCCCCAGAAGAGGAAAATGGACAGCGAGAAAAAAAACTAAGGAACAAGAACCCGAAAAGAGAAACAGGGACTATCAGACAGGGATATCAGAATTTTGCAGAAAGAAGAAGAATAGGAGGAAATTAAGAAGTGTATAGAGAAGGGAGAGCGTGGGGACCCCCCCGAAAGAGGAAACGCTCCGAGGAGTGAAGGAACGATTCCTCAGGGATTGCTTAAGAGAGATGCACATGGATGAAGGAAGAAAGGAGAAAGGATCAGTATTTATAGCCCATAGTATTGGGATTTACAACTATATCGGTGTTTCCTTATTCTAATTTGGTTCCCCCGGTGAGGTGTGAGGACCAAGTCCCTAGCTTGCTTCTTTCTTCCCCTTTTTGCTCTCAAAACCGCTTTTTTTCGTGAGGGCGAATACCAGGCGCTGACGATGACGCACTATGTGCCAAAATCGAAACGGTGTGTCTCGCACGCCTCTCCTCCTGTTCACCCCCCTTCGAAACAAACAGCAATCGGTTACACACCGGACACCTCCTCTTTCTTTTCTTTCCCTTTTCTTTTCTCTTTAATTTTCATGAAACGCTTTTGCGCTTTTCTTTCTTGAGTCAATCACTGGCTGACCAGTGAATGCCAAGTGAAACTGATCACTGATGAGGCTGTTCAAACTAGCTAGGGATTCGTAAAGTTACAGGGATTAGGCGGATTAGCTTAGGAATGCACATCAACAGTCTGGATCGCAGGTTACAAGTTTTCAAATTCTTGGTAGAATCCTCAGTCCTGCGTTTTTTTCTTAGCTGTAAATTTTGATCTCAAAACCTGCGTCAGCTTCGTGGGCTCCATGGATGATGAGTTGTTCATGGATCCTAAATCTTCTTAATATAAATATAAGATCCATTTAAATTTATAAATTTTTTTGGGGTCATTTTTCATTTACTGGAAGAAAACTTACACACTCATCATCGTGTTAATTGAGTCGCAAATTTTATTTAAATCAAGATTTAAGGAAATGCTTGTCAGCCAAATAACTCCGCCTGATAAACTTTATTTTATAAAGCAATTCAGTTTAAATTAATAAATATATATGCAAACTGAATCATGTATTTGGGACTAACTAAAAAGCTCTCGTGTTTGAGATCAATTACCAATATGATTAGTGTCACCGTCAGTCAATGGTATTTATAGAACAGTTGATAATGCAGTTAGTTCCAAAATTGCCCAATAACATGTTCTCCTGGTTCACCACATAAACATCAAATTTTTGAAGGGGTTGGTTTTTTCGTATAATCATTTAATGCATATTTTATATTTTTGTCTCTAATTAATTTTGTAGCTCTTCCATCTCTTTTTTTCTGCTTATTACTCCTCCAGTTCTTAATATAAAATCCATTTAACTAATTTGATTATATTAAAGAAGTTAGATAAGTTAGTTAATCATAAGAAAAGTGACATATTTTTCCTAAAACACCATAATTATTTTTCTTAATACTTCATTCCCCTCTTCTACTTGATTATGGTTGAGGGAGTATTCATAGGGGTAATTTAGAGAAAATTGAGAAATATGAAAAATGGGTCTTATATTTAGGATTAAAACCAACTCAATAATTAGGTTCTATATTAAGGATCGGAGGAGTATTACTTTTTTGCCAATAACAATGATTACTTTCCTAATTTAATTCAATCACTGGTTGAACTCATGACAGTATTTGAATTTTCAACCATAGAATAGGCCAAGATATCTCTGCAATAAATTATGTAATTTAACATTAAATCGTATTAAACTTGCCTATTAAGCAGTTAATTCATAAGGCAAAAAAAAAAAACATGTAGTTCACACAAATATAATGCCACCAAGATGATTTATTAAAGATGTGTGTATATATATATATATATCTTCATTGTAGAGTTTGATAACAAAAAATAAAAATATTTAAATTTTTAACTAGGCATCATCAATACACAAATATTTTAGCCCGTGTCTTTTGTAATTTTGGTAACTTAAATTAGACGTACATCTGTTGAATTTATATTAATTATCTTTATTTTTTAGTTACACATTTGATTAGACTTGAAACTAATTTCTTTCGTATCTTGGACCGTTAAAGAATAGTTTTCCAAATAAGTACATTTTTAGAAATTTGAATTTGTGTTTTCCTCTTTACAAGAGTAGAACTACTACCACTTCAACTAATAGTTTATCCGTGCCTCTAGTCTTTATTTTATTATGTAATTGGACAAATTCTCACCCACCTTTAATATATATGCGCGTGTATCGTGTATTAAAGCGTATTCTATGCTCTGTCAATCATTTGATTTGCTCGACTAATATTTCATCCTTGCCTGATAATGAAAACTCTCATTGAGGTTAAAAAGGACAAAGTAATCCATTTTAAGTAGCGGTGTTCAAAATAGTCCCATTCTAATTCCAACATGTTGGGACAGGACAAAAAATAGAACTGGGACTAGGATGGGATGGTCCTATCCAATCCCCTCTCAATCTGTCGTGGTAGAATTTTTTTATTAGTATAATTATTAAACGTTAAAAACACAAAATGTTCAAAGCATATGTAATACAAAATATTCATATTTGCAGCTTTTAGCATATATGTAGTTAAATGGTTATTATTTATTTAGAGTTTTTATAGTTGCTTATAATTTTGGGAATAGTGAAAATGAATTTGAAGTTATTATATTACTAATTATTATTTATTTACTCTTTTATTTAAGGTGGCTAAACTCAAAAAAATAAAACAAAAAAATAAAAAGATGCTTATAGAGGACTAAGCACAAAGAACTAAAACCAGAAGGGGGAAAAATCCATTGCAATAGCTCAACCATAAAATAAAAATGTTTTACAAAAAAAAAGGAATGTCCCAATCCCATCCGTCCCGATTGGGACCAAGATAGCACTAGGACAGGACCAGACACGACAAATTTTCTGTCATGTCCCTGTTTATTAGGTTAGGACAAAACTAAGACAGGCTTGTCCTGGTTCCATCTCTAGTCCGGTCCCGTCATGTGTCGTAAATAGCCTTAGACTTTTATGTTGTCTCTTAACAATGTTCATGGTTAAATATTTAAATTACATTAAATGCCCCATTTAAGCTCGTATATATCCTGCATTAACACAGATAAATAAATAAAAGCATTATAATTTATTATTACTGCTAGAATCATGCATCCGTCGTGTAAATTACATTACTGCCAGTAAGCGGTGTGGCCGTGTAACTAGTACTTGAAAACAAATAATCTCTCAACAATCAATTTCACATCCACACATTTACAGCCAGTGCCTTAGTATTAATTTGGATAGGCAGTAGTGAACAAATGTAGTCTTAAATAATTGTTAGTATTTTAGTTAATTTTTGCTCATAAATTTGATTACATTCTAATTTTATTTATTGAAGCCACTCACTGTATAATCATCAAAAGGATATAAATTTTATCAAGTCGTTTATATTTCCACGACTTTATTTAATAATAATTATTACTAATATATATATAATCTAACAAATGACATGAATATTTAAATATAATTTTCACTTAATAATTATTATCATAATTTAAAATTTTAAAAATCATATAAAGTACAAATAATCAATAAAAGACGTCATATATTAAATAGTGGGAAAAAAAAAGATAATACTACTGAAACTCATTATCAAATGTAATACTACCTCCGGTCCTTAATAAAAGATCCCGTTTGATTTTTATGTTGGCCGTAAATATAGGACCCTAATCCACTTTGTCTCTCATATTTATTCTTTTTTTTTCAAGGTAGTCCTTCTAATAATTGTAATTCTAGCCAATACGCTTAATTAGTAAGGATATTTTAGGAAAGACAACATCTATTTATTACAATTGACTTACTTAACTTATTTTCTTAATCTTTTCAAATTAGTCAACCAGCTTTTATATTTAGAACCGGAGGTAGTAACATAAGTAAGAAAGCAGAATATTTGATCAAGGTTATGCATAAAGAATAATATGTAAATATCAAACTTAAGTGAATAATATCTGAGTGAGGCAGGCATGTCTGAAAGAAGGTAGACATGTAGATACAGAAATTCTCAATGCCGAAGCTTTATACAGATTTTCTTAATACGAAAATACCCCCTCGTCACTTATATTCAACGTGCCTCAGAAATCAGAATTAAAATCATGACTGACTGGGAGTTTAGGAAAATTATAAAACACATGTTGGATTAAATCAAAAAAGCACTTTCACAAAATACTAACCCATCTTATATAGTTAGGAAGTGCTTGGAAAGCCAGAAGACACTTGTAAAAAGTATTTTACGTAAATCAAATAAAACTCTGTTTACATGTTTATCTTGTATGTTGTAAAATTTATTTTAAATTTTACCTGAACACTTTCTAAATAGTTTCATAACAATCAATTTTTTTTAACTCACAATGCATCGCATGCTCTATATGGACTCCTGCCGCTTTTCTAATAAAAAAAGAAAAGAAAAAGAAGAGAAAAGCACTCGGGGGCATATGATGCACTAATGATAGGGTGGGTTTAATAAGGTGATGAAAACATGGCCGTCGTTTTGTTTAACAAAAATATCGCAATCATGTTATCTTCCTCATATTTCATGACCAGTTGTTGTCGTTTTGCATGTGGGCTTTTCCTACAAACTTTGATGACGGACAGAAACGTTTCATCTTCCGCATGGATTATTAAAATATTTAATTTTAGTCTCATTATGTGCTGGGGAAGGGGACAAAATCATCAATATATATACGCGCGCGCGCACTACACATAACATTAAAATCATCACCACTGTATGATTTACTTCTCAAACTTCATGCCACGTATAGGATGGCCCACCCCAGTTTCAATGGAGAAGGATACATATTTTTCTGATTTTTAAATCCGCGGGCATATCCATAATAATATCTCTTATCATTAATCAACTTCTTCAAGAAGTATTGACCAAAAAAAAAAAACTTCTTCAAGAAGTACACGAGGAGTTCATATTATTCACGGTAACAACGGGCAGTGGTTCTCTCCGGACTTGCTCCTCTCCAGTTCTCCTCCGGGCCCGCTAAGATACACCGATCTCTTTTCTTTTTTCTGTCTGTTTATTGATAACATATTTTTTCCACATCGCATCATATTTAAAATATTCTGCATCTTTATTTTTAAAATTTCAAATAGAAGACTGAGCAATAAAAATTCTTTATAGAAACGAGTCCGATCTCTCTTTTTTTTTTTCCAAAAAAGAAATCATCATCTATATATATATATATATATATGTATATAAAGGCATGGAGTGTATGCTTGTGATGTGAACACGTGTACTTGGATATGAATTTTCAAAAAAATATTTGACACGTGATTGAATCGGAATGAATATGAAAACAAGCTAATTGTGGACGTACGGGACAGAGGAACAAGAAGGGAGTGAATGAAGGGGCGACCCTCGCGTTGACTGCGTGCGGTGGGAAAGACCAGATCTATTCACAAGTACAC